TAAGCAGAGCAGAATTCAGGTTTATATTTTATGTCCCCTGCTTGCCTGATATGTTCCTGTTCAATGGCCTGGGAAAGTCGGAAGAACATAGTATTTGAGGGAAAATGGATAGATTCAGTTTCAACCCTAACTCCATCACGTATTAGCTGCATGTAGAGATTTGATCTAAAAAGTGAATTAATGTCTGCATCCTACAGATGTTAGGATTAAGTGACTCTAGGCATGTAAATATCAAACACAACACAGCAAGAAGTTAACTCAATCTTGCTCTATCCTCTTCCTATGGCCCCACAATAGCCCTGAAGAGAATGTGGAAAGAAAATTGCAGCCAATTTCCACTGGTCATGCCAGTGAGCACCTGAGGGACCAGCTGTATATTTGCCAAATGATCCCCTCAAGGCAGCCAGCTTACAAGAAATCTGGGAATAATGCCATGGTCAGTTCTGGGCTAAAACAAACCTTGAACTCTACTGTAAGTACAAGCCTGGAACCTTGAACTATACTGGATCCCTTTAATCTGTAGACTAGCAAGCATCTCCCACTTTAATTTAAAATAATTTTAAAGTAGTTTAAACAGTTTGATGTGGTGGGTAATCATTATTAGTGTACCCTAGTAGAAAGGTCCCATTTCTTAGGGTATTCTATGATTTGGATAAGGTTTGTCCCCCAAATGTTCCCATGATAGAAATTTAGTCCCTAGTGTTGAGGTCTGTTAAAGTACTGGGGCCTAGGGGAAGGAAATAATGTCATGGGGTCTCTACCCTCATGAATGAATTAATGCTGTCTCACAGGAATGGATTAGGTCTTGTGGGCTGGATTAGTTTCCACAGGTATGTGGAACCACGAAATGAGTTTGGCTACCTCAGCTAGCCCTCTTGAGCACATGCTCATTATATACACACCCATTGCCCTTGGGAACTCTCACCAAACATTGATGCCATACTCTTGACCTTTAAGCTAAATCATCTTTTCTTTGTAAAGTACCTAGTCTTAGGTTTTGTGTTACAGCTACACAACACAGACTAAGACAGGTACTTTCTATATACTCAGGACTGCTCATGCTCATGACCTGCTATACATTTAAATCAACAGCTAAGACCACATCTGAGAATAATCAGTGGTAATGTCTGAAAGTTTGTCAAAATGGGGAGATGGGTACTACTAGAATCTACTGAGTCAAGGACAGAGATGCTGCCAAACACCCTGTAATGCACAAGACAGAAAGAATTATCCATCTCCTTAAAACGTCAAAAGGACAGAAGTAGAGAGATGTTACCTTAGACACTGTAGGGCTCTTGAAAATACACTGCCTAAGTGCTACATCAGCACCAATTGGCCAGAAGATGAAACAGAGGGACAGATATGTGAGGTAACCCACCCCAAGTCTCCTGCTAATAATAGAAGAGTGAGATTCCAATCACTACTGACTCAAAACCCCGTGGCCTGGGTCATTTCAGAAAGGCTTATTTTGGATTTGCTCATGCAAGCACAGCACACAGCTGCACACAAATATTTACTCAGTGATTTTCTATGAGGAAAGCAGGCCATAAAAAGTCTCTTAGACCTCCCAAGCAGAAAGATTTTCCAATTATCCTTTGTACAATCAAAGAGTTGCATCTCAATTCTTCTGATGCTTGGTTAAATATTTATCCAACTGCCTTGGGAAGACTGAGGTTAAAGAGCTCTACCATTGGTGTAGGTGGGATGATAAATGTGATACCACAGGAAGAAAATCTCCCAAGGTGGATGTGGTCAAATCTGGGAGAGGAGACCTGTTGGGTTATCTGCCTTTACTCATGAAGAGCCGTGCTTAGGTCTTTATGTAGATTGTTTCATTTAGGCCTCAGAGCATCTCTATGTGGTCAGTGTTCTTACTTCCTCCATGGTATGGGGAGAAAGTTGTAGTTTAAGAGGTCACATGTCTTTGGGGGTTCCAGGAGATTCAGTCTACTGGGTAGTAAGAATGGAGAGCCCTGCCCTTCTGACTCTTAGATCCTGTCAGAGAGGAAGGGGTCAAAGACTTGATAAGGAGTCATCCATGATCCAGGGCTCTGGAGTAGAAGGAGAAACTCAAAGAGAGGGAAGGAGCTGGCTGGTGGGAGGAGAAAAGGATGGACAGGAGTGAAGCAAGGAGACAGCTGGGACAGCTTTGGTTTGCTCATGACAGCCCCAGACAAGTGAACACAACAGGCCAACAAACACTCTGACCAGCAAACACAATTTATAATAATCATGTTTTTTTGGTTCTGGGCCAAAGAATTCATACATTTGGGGGAAGACATGGAGTGAAAAAAATCAAGAAGGTTCAAAGCTGTGAAATGTAAAAGATCAGAAAGATGGGCAGAAAGGAGTCAGGAGAGTAAGCTTTGGAGGCCAGTAGCAATGTTGACTTGGTGCTGATCCAAGAAATTGGAAAAGTAAGCCTGGGATAAAGAATCTGTACAATGAGAGGTTGAAAATAAGAATGAGATGTATGACTTAACACTCAGAGTTTTAATTCACAGGAACTATATGACAACAGAGTAAGAATCCGTGCCTTGGAAAAAGGGTGGAAACCAAGCTGAAGATATACAAAACGGCACCCTTGGTATTGCAGGGTCCTAATTCATCCACTACTCATTTATTTTTCATTTTTGACTCATTCACATGTTAGCATGTCTTCATTGATTGAGTTGCCAATGTAAGCCAGACTCTAGGCCTACGACATACAGTCTACATGTGAGAGGCACCTAAAGTCAAGTCTTAGGAACAAATGAGCTGCTCAAGGTCAAAGAGAGAACAAAGACAGAAAAGAGAAAAACCTCCTTGTCCAAATGTTGAGGAGAAGGTAGTGATCAGCCATTTGTTGAATAAATGAGTCAGAGAGTGTGTGAGACTTTGCCATGAGAACCAGAGAGCTCCATGCATCGGAGAGAGGTGAAGCTTCCACCGAAGTCAGAAACACAAAGGCCAAGAGCAGAACAAAGACAAAGGTTAGATACTGCAAGTGGGTGGTTTCCTGATATCTACTTGCTTCATTTCCAAGAAATTAGAAATACTTTAGAGTTCTCATACAAATTAAAATGGTTGTTCCTCGTCATCGTCCTACATAAATCTCTCTCTCCTTCCCGTCCTCATCCTACATAAATCTCTCCCTCTCTCCCTCCTTCCTTCCTTTCATTTCTCTCCCTCTCTCTTGCTCATTTCTTAAACAAACCAATGGCTCTAAACAAAAACACACAGCAGTCAACAGCGATTATTATCTGGGAATTGCAAAGAACTTCCCAATAAGAAATTCTTCTAAAACAGTTGTTCACATTAGAACACACACAGACACATGCACACAATCTCTCTCTCTCTCTCTCTCTCTCTCTCTCTCTCTCTCTCTCTC